TGCCGTCTTGAACCAGGCGGCCAACGCGTTTTGCCTGCTTCAGGCAGCGGAATCCTAAATAAAAATGTCAGGTAGAGCCCATCCAGTCCAGATATAAGCCTGCAGACATCTTTATGAAGCAACAAGTAGGAAGATAAAGGGAATGGTTGGGGCCACCTGGAAATAAGAGTGGCACGTGATCTCCCTGCACTGCTCATTTAGATCTACTGTCCCTCCTGACAGAGGAGCTGTGCAGAGGGCCCGGTGCCTTCAGTGCCCCCTAGCTTTGGTGATGGGGGCCACCCTTCTGCACTGTCCCAGGTTTGTATTCACAGGACCTGTGAGTCACGGGCTGCCAGGTCTTTAGGTATAGTCTCTATGCCTTGTGCTGTTGATCTGGGGCCATCCCGTCAGAACCCCAATAAACACCACCTGTCACTGGAGAGGCTGGAGAGGGCTCAATGCCTCAACAGCCGAGTGGCCAGCCCTGCAGGAAAGCATTCCTTTCCACTCTGCATTAGGGCCTAAGTATCTGTGAGTCTCACCACTGAGCAGACGCAGGGCCCTGGGGCTGGGGAACCCTGTGTCTGCCCATGTTCCCCTCTACTTGCTTTGCAGCTGCAACATCCCCAACACCATTGGGCCTGTGGTTTAATTTACAACATGGCCTTGATCTGCACATAACACTGGGACCTAGGGGGAGCAGGCTTTTAAAAAACGATTTTACTTCTCCGTTTTCTAGATGAGCAAACTGAGACCCAGAGAACTGATGAACTCTCCGTAGTCACAGAGCAGCCGGAGACACCCCCAAATCCACTGCCCCCTGCATCTGCCTCATTGGGAGCGGGAGGATCTGAGGATTGGAGGGAGTCAGCCTCTTTCCCGAGGAGGCTGAAGGCAGCTGTCTGCCTGGTGCGAGGGCTGCCATCGTTTATTCCCTGGCCTGGTGCTGGTGGCAGGTGCTGTTCTAGGCAGGCAGGGGTTTAAAAGCCCACCCAGAGCTCCCAGGCATGAGAACCGACCATCAGTGGCGGTTTCTCTGGTGCTAGTGCCTGGGCCCCTGGGCCCAGGGCTGCCTCTGTGTTCACCCAAGGTGTCTCTGGTCCTGCTGGGCCTCAACAGGCTGCTCCAGGTCACACCTATGCCTCACTAATTCCCTTGTCCTCCCGTGAGGGCTGCGTATCTGAATGTGCCTGCCCTGGATGCCCTGACCATATCCTGAGTGCCTCTCGCATGAAACAACACTTCCTTACGCTGTTCCAATGTGGCCACATTTTCCATCTGGGAGAGAAACCTCCCACCTTCTTCACCGTGTCATCAGTGGACAGTGCCCCTCAGCTGGCCCCATAGAGTCTTTGCCTTGGCACCTCTCAGCCTCCTCCTTGAGAAGCCTGGTGGTGGAAGTTGGGGTGAAGAACCCCTCCCACGTGGAAATGAAATGGTTACCACTGAGAGTGACTGACTTGGTTTAGTCCTCCAGACAAAGGCATGCACTGGACAGCTGCCTCTCCTATGAGTTAATGGGCTCATTTGCAATCAACAGTTACTAATTGAACACCTGCTAAGTGTCAGGCCCTGTGTGAGCTGCTGGAACAAGACAGATGAAGTCCTTGCCCTCGTGGAGCTCACACCGTAGTGGGGTGATGGGCCACAAGCCTGGAGTAGAGAAGGAAGGAGAGTGAGGTAATGATTGCCTATGAAGAACCATAATGTGGGGCGAGGGGATGGGTGCACACTACAGGGAGCGCACCTGCCCAGGGCCTTTCCTGTCCCCAGCAGACGTGGCCAAGGTCCTCTTTCTGGGTTTCAGCAGCAGGAAGGGCCCCTGGTGCTGCCAGTGGGTAACCCACCTCCGCCCTGGAGTGACAGGGAAGGGAGGCTCTCATATGGCCACGCTGCACCTTGCTGTTGTCGCCATCACCTGCGTCATGGGAGGGGAGCCTTGGCAGGCACTGGATGACTCGGATTTCTGCAAGGCTTGAGGCTCTGCAGAGTGGCTCTGAGGGCTGGGGATCTGGCAACGGTCCCTCTGATGCCCTCCTCCATCGTCCCTTCACTTCTGCTGAGTCTGGGGTGCCCAGAGCTGTTTTCTAGATCTTAGGACCACATGGAGCCATCTCCAAGCCTGTACATCATTTGCACTGAACTCAGTGCCACGGAATCTAATTAGCCGCCCCTTCTCTACCACAATCCCGGTCCCCCTCCTCTGCTTCACAAATCCCTGGCTGGCTCAGTGGAAGAAGTAACAATGGCAGACCTTCTCCAAGAAATGCTTGACTCAGTAAATACTTGACAAAGTAAACAGAAAGCAGCAACAATTCTTGGAATATTAGTGGTTTCTTTTTTAAACACTGTACCATTTTTCAAACGAGGGAGGAATCCATAAATCATTTTTGGCTGAAGATATTAGTTTAAGATATAATTGTGAAATTTATTTTTATGACCCATCCTCACTATCTCGTTATATACTCCCTAAATATACATAATTTTCTGCATCTTCATTTATCATTTGTCAAAAATAATCTTGCTGTTTTCTATCATTATTATAAAAGGGAAAAGATGAATCAGACCTTTCAAAAACTTCAGGTTGCAGCAACATTTTACATCTAAAAAAGAAATCTCTCATCTCCTTTTAAATCAGAGTTAATTTTTCCCCTTTATAATTTCGATACAGTAGATGTAAGGTCTCCTTTGGGAGGAAAAATATCTGGGGCTCTAAATCATCTTATGACAATTCCTAGTGTTGAAGGTGCTACTTGTTCACAGATGTTGTTGGTATTGAGGCGCTTATTGCTGTGAGCATGTGAGCTGGAGCCATTTGAATTTCAGGTTTACTAGATACTTTTCTCCAGTCCCAGGCTCATGTGATAACATTAATGAGATGTTTTTAAAGTATGGATTTGATCTTCAGGAAAATCCTTCCCCTACCAATGGTCCTGCCCCTTAGCATTCCCTGAAGAAAGGGCCCTTGCAAGGTAAATTAAACTGTGAATGGCTACCTGAGGCACTAAGAAACAATTGCACTTGTTTTCCGGATCATCTGGGCTCTCATGGGTTAAAAAGATGGCCTCTAAATATTCCCTGGACATTGTATCAGTCAAAATCACCACTTTTATGGGCATCTGAAGCAAATCTGGGGTAGAGGAAAACAATTCTACTGATTTAGGTTACGCACTGATCAGTCGGCAAGGCTTGCAAAGCTAGCGTCCTCTCCTCCTGGGTGGAGGTATGATCGGAGGGCTCCAGGCAGAACCTGCTTAGTCTCTAGGAAAATTGACATGCGCCTGCTCAAAGATCTGCAAAGGCAATAGCATGCAACCAGATGCATCTGAAATGAGGGCCAATTCATATATATATATGAATATATATATATATATTCTTATCTATCATCTATCTATCCATCATCTCTATCTATCTACCTATCATCTATCTATCTATCTATCTATCTATCTATCTATCTATCTATCTATCTATCTATCTATCTATCTATCAATCTATCTACCTAGTCATCTATCTATCTATCTATCTATCTATCTATCTATCTATCTATCTATCTATCTATCATCTATCTGAGAGAGAGAGAGAGAGAGTGAGAGAGAGAGAGAGAGAGAGAGAGAGGGAGGGGACAGAGAAAGCAGGAGAGAAAAAGCCTGCCTCCCTTACAAGCAATCCCAGTGTCCTCCAACCTCTTTGTTAGGGCTACTGTGTGAACATTATTATCCAAAGTCACTGAGAAAGGAAGTGGATGAATGGACCACATGTGGGTTAAATGATGAACCCAGGCTGCCTGGTGACAAAGTCAGGAATAGAGGCCTGCCCCCACTCCCTGGCTGGGGCTTTCTCTCCTGCCTCAAATCCCCTGATTCTCCCGTCCCCAGCTGGATGTGCTCATCACATTGTCGGGCTCCAGGTGCAAGTCCAGGCTGCAGTGAGGTTACTGGCCCAGATGCCAGCGATGGGCCCTGTCCCCAGTTCTGCCTTGAGCTAACTTCAGGGCCTTATTTGTCACTTCAAAGTAGCTGGATCTCAGCTCTGGCTGCATCTTAGAACAACCTGAGAGCCTTTTTAAAAAGTAGGACAGTCTAGCCCTACCCCAGGGACACTGATGTAGCTAACTTGGCCTTGCTCTCAGGAGCTCTTCCCACTGCAGCTGTGCAAAGAGGCATCCCTGTGTCTGTATTTTAAAAAAGATGATTTTGGTCGTTCTGATGATGAGTTTTCACTGGACTGAAGGGGTTATAAAGATTCTCCTCTTTTAAGACTAGAGGATTTCATTTATGTATTCATTTTTAGTACTTAGCTAGAAGTCGGCTGGTGCTCAGTAAGGTACACAGCACAAAAGGGCAGTAGGCACATGTTATCACTTACTTTGGCTTATATCCTATTTCAATGATCATTACAGTGTGAATTGGTTAAATCCTCCTGGTTTAGCAAACAAATTGCTAAGCCTACCTCATTGGAACAGAATATAAGACTTGTGAAAGTTCAACCTAACTGTGAAGGTCAAATGGTGTCATCCATTCGTGACAATGATAAAAACAGAAGCCCTAATTCGACAATCAAATCTCATTGGCAATAGAAGTAACACAGAAACTCAATGACTTTAACTTAGAGCTGTTGTGAATATCAGGTACTATTTTGTCTATAGCTACAGCACTAGTTAAATTGTATCTAAACTATTTAAATTGTTATTTTCAGGAGAAAGTAACAGCACAGCTAGTATTTTTGACACTATGTGTAAAATCTGGCTTTGAGACATAGAAAATCGTGTAGAGAACATGTCTGAGATGTTGAGACTGTGTCCTTGAGTTTCATCATCTCTCACAGGTGTAGAGTTGGGGCAGCCAGAAAACAGCATAGTCTGAGCTCTGATGAGCATCAGGACACGCTCCACTGGACTTGACTTTGCAAACTAGGTCTTGTGCTAGGAGTGGAGTATGCACCGCATGGTGACTGGCCGCTATCTGCCTTCCCGCTCTCAGCTCAGTGACTGCCTTATGTTTGTGTGTCTCTTGCTACAGATGGGCAGAAGAAAGTTCAAGAAGAATTTGACATCGACATGGATGCGCCAGAGACAGAACGCGCAGCGGTGGCCATTCAGTCTCAGTTCAGAAAATTCCAGAAGAAAAAGGCTGGGTCCCAGTCCTAGCGGGAGAGCCCCTTCCTAGTCTGCCAGAAGACATCGAATTCCACCATCATCTGTCAAGGAATTAAAAGAACAACACCCTAGAGAGAAATCATCTACACACCATACACACATGCACAGCAGTCCCAAAATGCATGTACAGAGACCCATGATATTTATACCCTGATAGGAAAGTGTAGACAATGCAGTTGTGAGTGGCTTAATCTCTGTGTTTGCCTCCAGTATCATTCCTCCTGCAACTAAGTATCTTCCTTGATGTTGTAATAAAATGGAGTTAAGATGCGTGATTACAGTGTCTGCCTTCATCTCTCCCTTTGCATTAATCTGGGAAGTTATGACAGTTAGAGATGACTGCCAGCCGGATGTCGATTCTTCGTCCCTTAAGAGTTAGAGCTGAAACACGGTGCCTTCTGCAAGGAGCTTTTCTGGAGAGAATGAGAGCTCCATTCTCAGCAGTGCCTGTCTCATTTGGAGAGTATTAACTGCCGACTGGCGATGGTAATACATTTTCTTCTTATGATGGAAATAGAGCCCTGTATCCTGGGATGTCAAAGATTCAGATGTTCACTGGGAATTATGACTCATCCAGGAAAACAAGAAGGGGGAGGGAGATGCATCTGTGTCACCCAGGTTTACTCAGCAGGTGCGTTTCAGAACTCCAAAGGGGATGCCCCCACCGTTAAAGGCTATTCTGCCACTTACCTGCAGTTCTCTGCACCTGCAGGGCTCCAGGTGGAAGGCATGTTTTCCAGTGTCCCCCACCTCCCTGAGCTTCTCACGCTGTGATTTGCCCGTGTTAGGATTATTTACCACAGCCTGCAATTTGGAGAAGCTGTCTGGCTTCACTCCCACCACATCTCTTTCCCTGCAAACCTTGCAGGTAAATTGCTTTGCACACCGCAAAGGGGCTCTGCAGGCAGCAGACATTCTGTCATGTGCAGAAGATGGCTTCACAGAGACAAGAGCCAGGGAGTTGCGTGCGTGCCTGCCTTGGGGGCCCAGGTGGCAGAAGCCCCCAGCCCCAGATTCTGGCTGTTGTTGGAGCTTTGCCACATGAGAACCTGATGTGGAAGTTGCATCTCATCTTCAGCATCCCAAGGTGCTCCGTGACAGCACAGTGTCCTGCAGTGGGGCATCGATTTCTTTCCTTTGCCAGCTCCTTAACCAAGATCAAGGTGTAGGATAAAGAATGGTGGAAAGAGGAGGGACGGTGGTCTGTGTGTTCGTGTGTGTGCGTGTGCTCACACACATGTGCCTGGGAGTGAAGGTATAAAGTATGGTGGAAGCAGCCAGTAGGAAAGGCAATGATTGGGGTGGAGGTCATGCCACTCCTCTGGCAGGGCCCCGTTTGCCATCACGAGGGTACAGACCAAGAAAGACTGGCTCACTTGGGAGGATTAACTGCCTCAAAAAATCAATCTGAAAACGTGTTTGTTGTCTTGTGTAAGGAGATCCCTCCTCTGGGGCTGTTAGGGACGGGGTGGGAGAGAAACTCCGAGGGTTCCTCTGATGGGTTTCTAGAGAAGCACTAAATAGGATTGCTTTGGCACTAGCCACCAGCCAGGGCTCCTTGGGGCTCCTGGCAGCCTGTGGTCCCCCCTAAAAAGAGGATAGCAGGTTGAGGCGACACTCTACAGAAAGCTTCCTGAGACCGCAGGGGTACGAATGCCACATAAATTAGATGGATTGTGATGTAGTCTTCTTTGGAGGTCCCTGAAGGACCAATGCAAAGAAAGTTGGGAACAAAACAAGAGCTTACACAATTTGGATGAGTTCCCTCCACATCCTATTCTCCCAGCACCCCCATTGTTCCCTTGTACTCTGAATATTTCACATAAGGGTAGCGGGGCCTCCCCTTACTGGGTGTGTCTGGCTCTGATGGCCAGCATGGGTCTCCTCTGGCTCTGACCCATCTGGAAGCAAATCTGGTATTATAGTGAAGATGCTCCCCCTAGAGGGGACTCTCCATGCAAAGCAGGAAATCCTAGGGTGTGGTTCTTCTCCAATGTTCCAAAGGGACAGGAAGTACTCCTTAGTAGTAATGGCTCATTGGTGCAGAAGGAGGAGAGTAGGGTGAGGGCTGTGACGTTTGGAGAGGCCCTCAATGGTTCTGATACACTCCCTCATCCCAGTCACTGATGGTACGTTCAATGGTACATTTAACTTCTTAGAGCTACAGGAATGAATTTAATTTTTTGCTTCCCAGGTGGATACATGAGAGTGTAAAACTCCAGCTAACAGCAAGGGAAAGATTCCAAATGTGCCCCCCTCTGCATGGTAATTGGATATGTTGAGTCTATGGCCTCATAGAGCCAGAGGAAGGAGAAGTGGTTTATGGCTCCAGGCTCTGAAGGGTCTTTCCGTTCCCATGGGCTGTAGTGTTCACCCCAGAGGAAAGGAGGGAACTTTCCATGGGGCTGCAAAGGGTGGAGTATCACTAATTCAATTTTGTTTCATGTATACTTATTAATATTAATTAATTTATTTTAATTTATTAATATTAATCATTAATATATTAAGCCCTTAATATTAATATGGCCATCCTTCATCAAGGTACTGGCAGGCTGGTGGGGAAGAGGCCCAGATAAAAAGATGGCAAAATCGAGAGATTCATGCTGTGGCAGAACAGAGGGGAGGCAGCTCATCCAGGCTTGGAGAATCACTGAAATCTTCCAGAGGAACTGCCACCCTCAGCAGCGATTGGAAAGATGATGACAGTTACTAGGTAAATAAGGGTGGATGGTTGGTTGGTAGAGAGGCATCTGGGAAAGGCCCAGAGGGAGGAGGTGCTCAGCTTCATAGACCTAGAGGTACAATTTATTAGCATATCCCAGCCTGGGGGACGCGGCTCTGCAACCCAAATGTGGGAAGGCTAGGAGGCAGGACCCCAACACTTGAGACTGGGAACTGGATTCATCTTTGGCTTACAGGTCAGCCAAGTGACTGCAGAGACATTACCTACCTTGAGCAGCTGGTTTCCTTACCATCAAGATGATGATAAAATCTACTTGGCAAGGTGGATGGGAAAATGTTAGGAACTTTAAATGAGATAAAATACATGAGTGCCTGGCTCAATGTAGGTGTCTAATAAATGGAAGCCATTAATAATGGCAGACCCATGTGGCAAAGAGTTAATCATTGCCGCCATCACTAACACCCCTTTTCTTGACTCAATGAAACCCAGAGTTCCTGGGGACTTTGCTTCTCTTGGCTACAGCCTGTTGGGCCAGTGATGGGCACTTGACCCAAGAGGTGGGCTCGGCTAAACAGAATCCTTTTCTTGTGAGTCTGAACTAATGGTGGGAACTGAGCCAGTTAACAGGAAGGAGATGTTGAGTTGGGCCAAAGCTGGTATTACGGAAAGTTAAAGCTGCCAAAAAGCTTTTTAAAAGAAAGCAAAACAAACTATTTTTTTTTTCCAAGAAGCTGCAAAAAGACCATTTGGAGAGAGATGCAGGAGGATGATGAGAGGATTTGAGACCCAAGATATACGGGCCCACAAGAGACGAAGAGCGCCTAGGTTGAGTTAGTCATTTGGTTGCAATCATCAGAAACCTACTCACCTGAGCTAAAAAAAGAGAATTATTCAGGTCCTACAGACATCCAAGATTAGAACACCCAAGACATCCAAGAAAAGAACAGAACACCATAGGCAGGCAGAATTACATTAAATTTATAAATAAACTGGGACACGGAGGGGGGAGAATTGATGTCGTTAGATTATTGTCTTTATAGCATTTTATGACTTTCAGTAAAATTTTATAGTTTTCTTCATATAGGTGTTTTTGTTCTATTTCTAGGTATTTCATGGCTTTTGCTGTCCTTCTCAATAAAATCTTTTCCAAAACATTCTCTAGTTGGTGTTCCTGTTATCTAGGAAAACTACTAATAACTGTGTATTTAACTCTATCTCTATTCATCATACTGAACTACATAATATCTGATCATTTTTCAGTGATTTTAGGATTTCCAGGTAGACAGTCCTATCATCTGCAAATGACAATAATTTTGTCTCTTCTTTTCCTCTATTTTTCATTCCTTTCTTTTTTATTTTCTTGTCTTCTTTATATTCTATACTTGTGTCTTGATTGTTTCAGTCTCAAGTGATAGCAAAAGACCATCACATGGGATGGTCATTTTCATCGGTCATCTATTTTGGGTCACTGGTTTTAACTTCAGAGGATCATTTATTCTCAAGTCTTGCCATCCTCTTATTGTACCTTCAAATGAACAAATTTTGTATACCCTGAAGATTAACCTAGATAAATTGGTATCTTTAGTATGATTATAAGGGAAGATTGGAGAGGAGAATGAGTTTAGGTTCAGAGCTTACTTAGGATATGTGTTTAAGGTGAGGATTCACATTAATGGTATATTTAGGTTTCACTTGATTCCAATTCAAAGCATAGATCATTGAGGTTGGGTCCCTTGGTCAGTCTGCAATATCCAGTGTCTTAGTCAGCTCAGGCTGCATAACAAAATATTATAGACTGGGTAGTCTAAACAGTAGACATTTATTTCTCACAGTTCTGGGAGCTGGAAGTCTGAGATCAAGGTGTTGGCAAATTCAATTCCCTGGTGAGGGCTTTTTTCCTGGTTTGCAGATAGCCTCCTTCTTGCTGTGTCCTCACATGGTGGAGAGAGAGAGAGAGCTCTGGTGTCTCTTCTTCTTATAATGGCACTAATCCCATCATGGAGGGTCCACCCTCATGAACTCATGTAAATCCGATTACCTCTCAAAGGCCCCACCTCCTAATACTATTGCATTGGGAGTTAGGGCTTTGCCATATGTATTTGTGGGGGGTACAGACATTCAGCTCATAACATCCACCTTCGCAGGAGCAGGGCTCTCCAGTCCTCCTGGATGCCCTTTACTGTAATGTGATCTGACTAAATAATACGTTGGATGTTATTCATCACCCAGCCGTCTTGCTACGCAGCTCAGGTATGTTCTCATCGCCTGCCACTACTCCTCTCAGTTGCTGTTTTAATGTTGGCTCCATTTTCCTCATGGCTGTGACGGTGGACTCCGTTCAGTCCACATTGCCCTTTTGGATGTAGTTTGCTCTTTTGCTAACAGATGCTTAATTGAATAAGAATTAGGGTGAGCATACTGCTGCTATGTCACTTCCCTGGAAGTTAGGGGTCTGCAGGGTGGGGATAAGGATGGATTTGAATGGGGCCCTATCAGGCTTTATGGATAAAACCACCGGAGGATTGTCAAAGTGGAACCACCAAACTTGTTCTCTCTCTGCCCCTTGCCCTGTAAAGCTAATCTGAATATGTA